CCTTGAGAAACTTCTCATCCAAGAACTTTCTATTGTTGCTGCTCAGAGACAAACTCCTGCCCCGGTTACAGCTTTGAATGCTCAGGCTCGACCCAACTATAACAACAGGCCTCGGTCTGGTCAATTCCCTGCATCGTCTAATCAACACACCAGCAATCGCAAACCGTTTCTTGGACGCTGTTAGTGGTGCAATGTCAAAGGACATGTTCTATCTCAGTGCCAACTCTTCAAGCAGCAACATCCTGGTATCCCGCCACCGTCTCGGAACTTTATTGCTCACACTGGATTGGCTCAGGCCAACATTGCAGCTGCTGGTCCATCTCATACTGATTTCTTGGTTGATAGTGGAGCAACACATCATGTAACCAACGATCTTGCAAATATGGCACTTCATCATCCGTACACTGGTCCTGACTCGCTGTTCATGGGCAATGGTCCAGGTTTAAACATCTCTCATTCTGGAACACTTTTAATTCATGATTTATCCTTGTCTAATGCTCTGTGTGTTCCTTCCATGAAACAACAAATTATTTCTGTCTCTAAACTTACCAAACAGACTGACTCTGCTGTTGTTTTCCTGCCAAACTCTTTTCATGTAAAGAACTTGCAGACATGCCAAATAACCCATAAGGGCTCATGTGTGGATGGACTTTATCTCTGGCCCACCTCCCCACCATCTGTCCATACCGTCCGCGCGGAATCCTCTGCATCATGGCACCATAGGCTTGGGCACCCCTCATCCTCTATCTTTAAATTTATTCAACAACATTTTTCTTTGGGTTCAAATAAATTCCCACAATCCGATTGTAATTCATGTCAAATTAGTAAGAGTCACAAACTTCCTTTTCATGAATCCACTCTTAAATCTTCTTATCCATTAGAAATAATTTTTTCAGATGTATGGACTTCTCCTGTTTTATCTGTTGATGGTCTTCGTTACTATTGCATGTTTGTGGATCATTTTACTCGTTATATCTGGCTATATCTAATAAAACACAAATCTGATGTCCAAAATATATTTCCCAAATTTAAATCACTAGTTGAAAATTTTTATCAGCACAAAATAAAAATCTTATACACAGATAATGGTGGTGAATACATTGGACTTCGTCCATTTTTAAGCACTCATGGTATAAGTCACCACACCACCCCACCTCATACACCTGAACACAATGGAATCTCTGAACGCCGGAATCGTCACATTGCCGAAACTGGCCTCTCTCTTCTTCACCATTCGGGCTTGCCCCTCACCTATTAGCCTCACGCCATGACTACTGCAGCCTACCTCATAAATCGTCTCCCAACTCCAATTCTTGGGTACAAGTCACCTTATTCCAAATTACTCCACATTAGCCCGGATTATCATAAATTAAAATGTTTTGGATGTTTGTGTTTTCCCTGGATTAAACCATATGCTAATCATAAACTTGCACCAAAGTCTGCTATGTGTGTTTTTGTAGGTTATTCGGCGGATCAACACGCGTATTTGTGTCTCGATCCCACAACTGGAAGGATTTATACCTCTTGCCATGTGAAGTTCGTGGAATCCAAATTCCCATACAGCTCTCTGGTAGCTCAATCTAATTCACATACAGAACCACAAACAAGCCCACTTCAACTCTCTATTTTACCGCCCCTAGCTCAACCTATTGACAATACCACTCTAAACCCACCGGAAAACTTATCCGCTGCCCATACCACTCCATCTGTCACCCACTTACCAGATTTGGCTCAAACATCAACCTCAAATGAACCCACCAATACTACTCAAACTTCCCCTTCAAACTCCCAACCCTCCCCCCAACCTTCTCCACCACCCATCAACCCAAACCCAAGACAACAAACCAATGCTGGTGGGATCATCACCCGGTCTAAAAACAACATCATCAAACCTCTTACAAAGCTCAACCTACACGTTTGATCCTCCTCTCCCATTGAACCCAACACCATCACTCAGGCTCTTCGTGATCCTGATTAGCGCTCAGCCATGCAAGCCGAATTTGATGCTTTACACCACAACCACACTTGGGATCTTGTAAGTAGGTCCTCTGCTCAAAATTTGGTTGGTTGTAAATGGGTCTTTCGAATCAAACGGAATCCAGACGGATCAATTGATTGTTACAAGGCTCGGTTAGTTGCCAAAGGGTTTCACCAACGCCCCGGTTGTGACTATACGGAAACATTCAGCCCCGTTGTTAAACTAGTGACTATTCGAATCGTTCTAACACTTGCAGTTCGTCAAGGGTGGTCCATCCGTCAGCTTGATGTCAATAATGCATTTCTTCAAGGGACACTCAAAGAGGAAGTCTTTATGGTGCAGCCGCCTGGCTTTGTCAACAAAACCTTCCCTAATCATGTTTGTCGCCTCAAAAAGGCACTTTATGGGCTGAAGCAGGCACCTCGCGCTTGGTATACAGAACTTCGAGTATTTCTGCTCTCCATTGGTTTCGTTAATTCAACTGCAGATGCATCTTTATTCATCCACCAAAAACCAGGTGTTACTTTGTACTTATTAGTATATGTTGATGATATAATTGTCACTGGGAGTTCTTCTGTAGAATTATCCAGCCTCATTGCCACACTTGCTGCTCGCTTCTCGTTGAAAGATCTTGGATGCCTCAACTACTTCTTGGGTGTCAAAGTAATTCCTTCCGCTGTGGGTATGTTTCTTTCACAAAGAAAATATATCACCGATCTACTACATCAATCAGGTATGGCAGATGCGAAACCAGCATCCACTCCGTTGTCTGCAACAATTCCATTACTCAAGGATTCTGGTGATCTTCTACCTTCCCCAACTGAGTACCGAACGCTAGTTGGAAGTCTTCAATACTTGAGTCTTACACGCCCAGACATCGCCTTCAGCACCAACAAACTTGCACAGTTCACGCAGAACCCAAGAACGGTGCATTGGTCTGCACTCAAAAGAGTGCTCCGCTATCTGGCAGGCTCGTGTGACAAAGGAATCTTCATCTCGGCAACAGCTCCGCTGAACTTTCATGCATATTCGGATGCAGACTGGGCTGGTGACAAAGATGATTATGTTTCAACCACTGGCTACTTGTTATATCTTGGCAGCACTCCCATCTCTTGGAGCTCCCGCAAACAACGTTCGGTTGCTCGATCATCCACAGAAGCATAGTATAAAGCCTTGGCTGACACAGCCAGTGAACTACTATGGGTCCTTTCCTTATTTACGGAACTTGGTCACACTCCAACCGCTAATCTGGTAATATACTGTGACAATCTCGGTGCCACACATCTAAGTGCTAATCCTGTATTCCACTCTCGAATGAAACATATAGCCTTAGCCTATCACTTTGTCCGTGAAAACGTTCAACATGGCAAGTTTTGTGTATCTTTTGTCTCTACTGATGATCAATTTGCTGATATTCTAACAAAGCCTCTGCTTCGCCCACGATTTGATTTTTTACTGTCCAAGTTGCATCTCTCTTACAAATTATCCAACTTGCGGGAGGATATCAATAATAATAATTAGATTTAAAATTCCTTTAATTATGCCGATTTACAAATCTGTTATTTACCTAGTTTGTAGTCAAAAGTTAATAGCTACATTAGTGGAAAATCAATAGGAGATTTGTTACCTTGATTTGTTCCAAATTAGGTTTATCAAACCTGTATATATACTACTGTAAACTAATGAAATTATTCACTTTTCTATAGCATATTTGTGGCCTTTGGTTTTGAGTTAACTATGTTTGAGAATTATTTTTGTTCTTTTGATTGTTAATAATTGGTGTTATAGACTATAAAGTATATATAGACTAAGGCATTAGCTAATGAATGAATTAGTTTTCTGATAAATTACTTTTGATTTGTTGTTTGGTGTAGGCAACAAAGAGAGCAATGGGAGCTAGGGTTAATACAACCAACTTCAAGAGAGAAAGTATTTTTTCACTCTCAAATGGAAAAGTAAGTTTCTATAATTTACATGTTTTAAATTTTTTCAGCTCCGCCATTGGTACAAGTATACTAAGAAAAGACAAAACTAAAGTATTCCCTTCACATAATTTTTCTAGCTCCGGAGCCAGTGAAAACTTGTCCAGTCTTCTTAATTTTTTTGACTTCGTCACTGGATTTCATCTTTCTGCAACTGCAGAACCTGACAATATTATTATAGTCGATGGGAAAAAGGTTCAATAATTTTCTTTAGAAAAATGTTGACATTTTTATTTTATTTTCAAAATTATGTCTTCTATGGTTGAAAATGTGGGCTTTAAAACATACATACCAATTCCTAACAGAACCATATCTTGTGAAACTGCAGTTATAACATTAGATAAGGATCCTTTATAATGAACTTGATTCTAAACTAATAGGGCTCTTTATAATGAATTTGATTCTAAATTGAGCTATTAGGTTCATATGTTATCATTGATTTAGTTCAAAATGCACCATATTAGGCAACAAAGAGGACATATGTCAACTACTGTCTTGGTAGAAAATTATGAAGCCACTGAAAGAGCCAATGAAACTTGCCCAGGCTTCATAATTTTTCTGACTTCGCCACTGGTTGGTTACAATTAAAATCTCTTAGTGATACATATATCGGAAATAAATATAACAAATACAAATTAATGAGAGGATGTTCTGCAATGGTATATTGATCATTTTGTGCATGGTGCAATCGTGTATAAACCGACACATCTCTATTGACACCAACTTATTCGATGATGGTATATATTAATGGATTGCTAGGTTGTTTCCTCTTCATCATCTTTATTCACTTTGTTTTGTGACCAATTCTTTGTGGTTGCCAACCTTACATAATAAGTGGAGGACAATTACTTAGGAATAACTTTTCACCTTTTATTCACACACAAAAAGTTGAAGAAGAATCATATTCCAACTTAATCACTACAATGTTGTCTATTTATACCAATATTGTTCTAAGTCTTGCTCTTCCCAAGAAATTCTCTCCACATAACCCTTCCTACTTTCTCCTTACATGTTCAAGGCTTGCAATATAGCATCGCAAAATGACCAATGTAAGAATCAATATAAAGTTCACTTACTAACTATTTAGTAATTTTATTATGCAGCTATGGAAATTATCAAAGTTTTATTGTTGTGTGTTATCAGGTGGTGGAGGTGAAAGTTGGTTTACATTGTGATGAGTGTATCAAGAAAATTCTCAAGGCCATCAAGAAGATTGAAGGTAGATGATTATTTTTTATTCTCTTTTTTTTTCTTTTTCCTTTGGTCAAGTAACCGCCGCTTTTGTGCAACTATCAATTAAACAGATTTAACGAAATATTTTTTTTTTTTCTCTATTATCTACAACATATAACAACTAAAAATATATGTAACCTTGCAGATATCGAGACATACAACGTGGACAAACAATTGAACAAGGTTATTGTTACTGGCAATGTTACGAATGAAGAAGTGATTGGAATTCTTCATAAGGCTGGCAAGAATGCAACTGTGTGGGAAAATGTTCAATGTTGAAACCATAATTTCTTAATTTCTTTTTAAGTAAATACATCTAAGTTTTCTATAGCATATAAGAAACATATAGACCGATGCATGATGTGAAGTTCTATCATCTATTTGGAGTTTGTAGAAGCATAATTATATATCTATACTCAGTTTTGTAATTTTGTCCTTTGAATAAAACACATATGATAAGGAGCTAATAGGTGAAAGGAGAGTTACATGAATTTCATCGTCTTACATGTTCTAGAATTTAGATGTTCTAGAATTTTCTTTAAGAAAAGTCATTTCTGAGAACAATTGTCAAAAGATATTGCAAGTTCTTAATATATGACAATCTATAAATGTTCTCAATTTTTATCAAATGATTCTTTAGAAAGTATTATTCTCTTAATTCGTCTTACATTCTAAAACTTAGATGATTTGATATCTACATATTTAACTGAACGAAACCAAAACATTTAATTTTATTTATATTCTAAAAGCAGTTTTATTTTTCATTTCTTAAAATATATCTTTATTCTATTAGTTAAAGAAGAGATAATAAACTTTTAAAGTGAGTATTATGTATATTTTTACAAAAACAATAAAATAATATTAAAATAATATTTTAATTTAATTTTTAAAATACAAAATAATTAACTAATATTTCATCTTTTCTTTGTTAGAGTATTTCACTTTAAAATCGCATATGTTTTATTATTAAATTAAAATAAACGCATATTTAAAATAAATCTTACAAACTCACTTGAAATTTGAATTTAAACTTCTCAGAAATTTTAGTTGAAGTTTAAATATTTATTAGTTTAACATTGGTAGACCAAAAATATTCACGATGATTTATATACAATACACACTCTTTAACTCTTTGACTTACTAGTTATTTAAAAAAAAAAAAATTATGAAGGATTTCACACACAAACATCGAAGAAATTGATATGAATATTAGTTCTAGAAGGATATCTTTTAGCCCGTAGCCTCATTTTTTAAACATATGTGATTAAGGATGAAAATAGATTGGGTCGAATTAGGTTTTGTCAAGTCTGAGTCTAGTCTGCTTAAAAATTTAAAATCTAAGTCTGACATGTGGTCTATCATAGACTTATTTTTCAGCCTGGATCTGACCTTTTTGAATGTCTGATTAGTCTATTAGTCTACTTAAAAAATCTATATCATTTGAACATATGTAAATAAGCAATTTAATTAATGTTTAAATATAGTACATAATCAAAAGTACAATAAGACTAAGTGCATGTTTGGGTTTGCTTTTGAAGTGATCAAAAGCAATTATATAGATGTAGAATTGATTCTGGGTGATTTTGAAATGTTTGGTTAGGCATAAGTAGAATGGATTCTACCTACAGAATTGATTCGACTTGAAGCTATAATTTATAGCTTCTGCCTCCAGAATTGGTTCTGGGTGATTTTACACTAAAATTTATTATTCAACTCATTTTTCCATAAATATATTCAAACATAAATCAATTTTGCTAAACTTAATTCTGATAAAATTAATTCTACCAAATTCAATTATGCTAGAATCAATATTTGTTTACATTGACTTATTTGAGCTTACATAGTAGCATAAGTTTTGTGAGAACTTATGAAAACAACTTATGATATTATTCCTAAGATTTTTCAACTTATTTTCACAAGTTATTCAAGATAACTAAACTTTACTTTTATATTTTAATATAAAATACAAAATGCAATATAAAAACAATAAATTTATTCATATTTATAATAATAGATCGGTCTGATAGGTATTATAGACTTTTTTAGGGTTTGCGGCTTAGCTTATTTAACTAAATAGGCTTATAAAAAAGCCTAAGTCTTTTCTACTTTAAAAAAATATGGCCTGGCTTTGGCCTTGGCCTGTGTAGACTTGTCTGTATGCCCCTGTTAGTCGGTATGACCTATTTCCACCCCTACCCATGACCAATTAAACTATATCTTACTATTTATTTAATTTATATATATATATATATATATATATATATATATATATATATATATATATATATATATATATATATATATATATATATATATATATATATATATATATATATATATATATATATATATATATATATATATATATATATATATATATATATATATATATATATACTAGTTTTATTAGTCTAAATTCATCTTTGTTGGCTCAATTGTGTTGTGAGTAGAATCGTTAAAGCGGGAATTGTCCTTTCCATTCTAAGGGTTATTCCCCCACTCTAGTAAAAAATTAAAAATATCATTAGAATTCGGAAATATACTTTCAGACGAACTCCAATTCACACACAATCCATTCGTAAGTAAGTTAGACCTTAATTTATGACAAAATTGATACGAAGATGTATTTTCGTGTAAATTGTGGAAGTATTTTTCTAGAAACTAATGAATCAGAAACAAATGTAGAAATAGAGATAAATTAACATTCAATAATTGTTATGATATACATAAAAAAACCAAGCATCACAAATATAATCGTTAACATAAATTTAACAATACATTTTATCATCAAGTATGACGTTTCAACATCTTTAGAATATTTTTGATCGATCTCGCAATCTTCACATCCAACTCGACCAGACATTTTATTTCTTAACAGTGAAATGTATTCTACATAATAGTTAAATCTTCATTCGTCTTCAGCTCAAACTCGTTGAACTGTATCTTCCATCACTGTCAATTAAGGGGTGAGCGATAATATAACTTAACAACTCTTCAATTGTCTGGATACAGATTCTCTAGTTTTCATTTTAGATCGACAAGATGAGTGATCTTTGAGAACCTAAAATAAAGAAGGGACTTCTCTCAGTTGAAGTAAAAAAAAAGCGAGATAAGCGTGCTGAGACATTTTGTATGTTCTTTGTGTGTTTGTGCTAACTAGTTTATTTATACAAGTTTTAGATCAATATAGACTTTAGAAACCCAATCATGTCACAGAGGATATTCCAGAGACATACTTTCGGATGCACCCTGCATTGTTTAGTAAAATTAGGGTAAGTTCGAAAATGCATTTTCAAAAAAAAAATCCTGCTATATTTTTTTTTAACAATATGGGGTTGGTATGGATGTACAGTTCTAAATAAACCCATGTTATAGTTTTTTTAAATTGGGGTGCATCCGAAAATATATTTTTGGATTCACATGTTACTGTTTGACAATTGCAGTTATAGTCACCCTCAACATTAACAATCAGTTCAATGTATTTGTGCATAAAAATCGACATCTATTCGTATTATTGGATTTTTAGTAAAGGTGGTGTAAGAGATGGTTTGCTAATATGAGCTCCTTTGAAAACACTTTTTTTGAGATTTTTAAGTTGGAGAATCCAAAATAAGTTTGTCAACATGTTTAAAATAGGAAGGAGAATGCATTAATGAATTATCGCTCAGTGTTGGTTTGACCTTCTTAGGAGCACCATATATTTTTACCGGTTAAGACAATGGTTTCAAATATGTAATTTCTGGATAAGAAATCTTCCTCGTTTTCTCTTGATGTAGATTATCATGTTATCATCGGATTTCAACAATCTCTCTTGTATAACTTCATATTCGATCAAGATAGAGAGATATTCAATTTATCGTCCTTCATCATACAATCATCATCCAACTTGGTCCTTTTCCAGCTAGTTCAAACTTTATCCATTCGTATTGGGATATCAAGTTTCACCTTCTTTGAAATTAAACAAGCATGTGGTAGACCATATGTCTTCCTAAGTGTACAACCACACTTTAAGCAATCGAAACCTACTTTTTCAGCCCGTTTGGCTTCATAAAATTAAAATTCAAGCCTGCTTGAGATATGTTATTGACCAACTATGAATAGAGATTAATGTCTCTAAATTTGTGATACAACACTGTAATATTGCGACAAAATGATATTTGTATCTCATTAGGCTTGTTTTATATCATTTGGTTCAGAGTCCCAATCTCTACACAAATCATATTTACTATTTTCCAACCGGTTCTTTAGTGTAGCATGGGGAGATTCAACTCGGTTAGTTGTTGTATTTCCAAAGTGTCTAACATGATTGGTCCAAGCACAATTTTTTTTCATTCACCTAGTATACAATTATACTTTTATTATATTTCAAGAAGTTCAGATATTTCACACACCTTCTTGAAAAGTATAACAAAATCGACATATAACTCTTCCATAGAAGAATTTATTATAGCATTCCAAGCATCCATTATTCTTTTCAGTATCATGCTGGCTTTGACCATTTTTCAATTTTCTCTTTATTTGTTTGGTCCCTACCATAGGCATAAGTCTGCTTCGCAAATTCTTTGTGATGTGATTCCTACAAAGTAATATGTGTAAAGTAGGAAACACTTTTGCAACCGAATTCATAAATATGGTATCACAATCAATGATAATTAATGGCCTTTGGCGTGTTTTATTTTTCCTACAACATTGTTTGACACACTTCTAAATCTCAAATAATGTAGTCCTCTTTTTCGCTTTCCAAACATGTAAACCCAACGTAATAAGCATTTTCAGTAAAAGTAACACCAACAATTTCCAATAATGGAATTTTGTACTTATTGGTCTTATATGTTGAATCAATAATGAGTATATTGAGAAATATGTTTAACAACTTTATGGAATTAGGATGAGTCTAAAATATATCTCGAATGGTTTCTCCATCCTCGCACACTCAGTACCTAAATACGTTATGGTTATCATCCAGAAGTTTCAACAACTGTTGCATTTTTATTCTATTCTCTAATATCACCATGTTGTTTTGAGTACAAACATTGTATACTTTCTTGATATTTGAGATACTTTATGGTCTTTTACGTTTCAAAGTTGCAAGTATGATTTTGGGCTGCACCATGTTCAATGTCATGTGAAAAACTATTTCCTTCTCTTCAGGCATGTGGCAACATGCAATGGGATGGGCGGTTAACTTGTGACACATGTCATGATTATGTGTATTATAAATCATATTAAATATCAATTTATTAACTTCTAAAATATATCCATGCAACTTAAAAGGACAC